CCCTACCCTACCCTACCCCTACCCTACCCTAACGTAAATGCAATAGTTCAGTAACATTCTCAAGGTCACACACCTGAGAAATAAACTTCACTTCATCACAAATAAAAAAAATATAACTATATACGAAAACCACTAAAAGAGTCAGGCGAACTTTGTGAAACATCCTGGGGAGGCGGATGTGTGCTGCGGTCATTACGTATACGGGGGGAGGGGGGGACGGTCAGGGACGGTTGACCTTCCGCTCAAACCCAAACTCCAACAGGAAGACGGTCACCAGGTGTTTCCATAAGATATACACTACAGTACCTTAATTTAACGCGAATTAAGATGGTGATAATCCTGACTTGTGACAACGCTGGTGGTGATAATCCTGACTTGTGACAACGCTGGTGGTGATAATCCTGACTTGTGACAACGTTGGTGGTGACATCTCTGACTTGTGACAGCGCATGATTCTGGTATGACACTGGTATGACGCACGACACGAGTATGACGCATGACACTGGTATGACTTATGACACTAGTATGATGTATGACACAAGTATGATTTATGACACTAGTATGACATATCACACTAGTATGATGTATGACACAAGTACGATTTATGACACTAGTATGACTTATGACACTAGTATGACACATGACACTAGCACGGGTGTATGTGTACGTCATCAGTTTAATGGCAAATTGAGTTATATTTATGTAGGTGTTATTACATTACATCTACACAGGTAAATGTTTGATATTACTGATTAATTAAGTGAAGCAGGTGTTATTGTTTGTGTGTTTTGTTTATGTACACACACACACACACACACACACACACACACACACACACACACCCACCTCAAGGTCACCAGTAAAGTCAACACTCACAGGAACAAAACAAAACACTTCATCCATACCTGGTTACATCCATTCTTCCACTCAGTTACATCCACACCCACCTGTCCACCTTTAGTCATCGGTTCGACCACAGTGCTCATCCACATCCACTCTCCCAATCACACCTATACATACCCACTTCTCGCACTCATCCACCTACACTGTCCAGTCCTCGTCTTGTACCCACATACTCACCAACGCCCACCCACTCACACTCACCCACGCCCTCCCCACTCACACTGACCAACTCGTCTCCACCCACACTCATCCACCCGCCCCCACCCATACTCACCATCCCGCACACCCTCACTCAACCACCCGCCTCCACCCACCCACATTCACCTACACAGCATTCAAACCATCTCTTAAGCGGTGTCACAATTCAAGGACATTACCATCTAAATTAGCGTTATGGCAGCGTGTAGGACATGCTGTACCTAGGATAGCTCTCTCTCTCTCTCTCTCTCTCTCTCTCTCTCTCTCTCTCTCTCTCTCTCTCTCTCTCACAGGAAGTTAGCCATACCCAGACAGAAGACGTTTTGTGGGGTGACCGCTTACAGTTACAGAAAACGAGGAAAACTTATTGTGTTGTTGTTGGAAGGAAGTGTTCTGGTTAATATTTTGTCATGTCAGAATTTTACAATCGATCTATATATTAGGAATACTTATGATGGACGTTATACAAGTTCCTTTATCATTTATGTTGGTATGTATAATCAGATCCGTATATTGTGTAACATAACATACACACAGAACCATTTTCTGTTGTTATAATACTGAGATTCAGTTTGAGATATATAATACGAAATATACAGAATATATCAAGTATTCCCTTATCATTTTATAATTTTTTTTTCTCGGGAATTATGAAAATTTAGTCGTGGTTATAAGACATTAACGTAAGATACGACATAGTTAGTGTGTGTTATTTATTACCTTATGTTGGCGACAAATTACCTTCCTTTTTGGCATTTTTTTTCCTATAGTTCTGAATTTGTTCGTGTTGTTGATGTTATAATGTATTTCTAAGCTTCAATAATTAAGGTCTTTAAGCTTGTGTTTTATGTTGGTAAATACTTTAATCATAATGTTGATGTTATAATGTATTTCTAAGCTTCAACAATTAAGGTCTTTAAGCTTGTGTTCTGGGTTAATAAATACACTAGCCACCAAAAAAATAATAATAATAAGATAAATAGCTAAACTTACGCCAACTTTCAAAGACCTGGGAACTGAAGGTGGTCAGCCGTGTTGCTCGAGTCTTTCCACTTTACTGACTTCACTTTACTGACTTCACTGGACTTTACCCTTGAGATTCTACATCTTTCCTTTTGTCAGCAGTCACTAATACCTTCCTGTTCTTGCTTGCGTCGTCAGATTCCCATCCAGTAGCCTTCAATTTTGTCCTCTATTGACTCTACATGGTAAATTTTTTCTCCCTTACTCAGCCAACATGGTCTAGTTAACAAGACCACCCCCTCTTCTCCGGCTATGGACATTAAACACTAAAGGAAAAGGGGAGGTTGTATATCGCTATCTTGCCATGTTCTTGTCTCTCTGTATTTCCTGAACCACGTATAGGAGGAAGTCTTGGTGTTTATTATTGACACTTAACCCTTCTTTCGTTTCCTCATCTGTTAACTATGTAAAACGCTTGAAAGATTCCTCCAGTGTTTACAGTTTATTCTGAATATTTTGTCGTACTCTACCTCTCTCTACCCCAGGCACGCTACCTCTCTCTACCTCACACACTCTACCTCTCTCTGCCTCACACACTCTACCTCTCTCTACCTCACACACTCTACCTCTCTCTACCTCACACACTGTACCTCTCTCCTACACACTCTACCTCTCTCTACCTCACACACCTCTACCTCTCACACACCTGTACCTCTCTACCTACCTCCCACACACACCTCACACCTCTACCTCCACACACTCTACCTCTCTCTACCTCACACACTCTACACACTCTACCTCTCTCTACCTCACACACTCTACCTCTCTCTACCTCACACACTCTACCTCTCTCTACCTCACACACTCTACCTCTCTCTACCTCACACACTCTACCTCACACACTCTACCTCTCTCTACCTCACACACTCTACCTCTCTCTACCTCACACACTCTCTCTTATTAATACTCAATTATCTCATCATCTTCTTGACCTTATTGCCTCTTTTATCATGTGTCTTCTTCCCTCCATTTCCTTTTACATTTAGTTTCTTTCATTTCTCTCTCCTCCCAATCTCTCTCAAGTACTTACCTCTATTCATCACCTCGACACCAGTTATCATCTTCGCTATTAAATCTCTTTTTTTTTTCATGTCATCTCATTCACATCGCCTTCTTATTGGCTATTCTCATATAACTACTTCGTTCATTCCTAACAGCTTTAGTACATTTATCACACAGACGTCTAATTATCGCCCTAGTCATGTTCTTCATTTGTTTTGTGTGTCTCTTATAGTCATCTTTCTTTGTTTGTGTACTTCTCTGTGTTTATGTTATACTTGTGTTTCTTATAGTCATCATTCTTGTTTATGTCTCAAGTATCATACGTAAACAAAGACATATATTTTATTTGTATTTGTTTGTTGTATTGCATGGAACAAATATAGTGGGAATACACATTGTACTTTTTCATTCTCTCTTTCCCTGTTTCCCTCTCGTTACTCTTTCCTTTTTCCCTCATCATTTCGCTCTCCTCTTCTCCCTCCCTTCAACCCCTTCCTCCCTCCCATCACCCCCCTCACCCCCGTCACCAGAGGTCATAGTGGGTGTCCCTCTTGAGGAGTCATAAGTTCACACACACACACACACACACACACACACACACACACACACACACACACACACACACACACACACACACACACACACACACACACACACACACACACACACTTTATCTTGCATGGTGTTCTTCAATCTTCTATTCAGAATATTAACCTTTGTCGTAAATAAATGAATATGTTAAAAAAATTCGAGCTTTGAGTTTTCTTTAATGTTGTAAATGCATTTCATATTTAGATGTTTTAAGTTGAAATGACTGACGTGTTTATCGAAGTGTGACCGAGAAACTATAAAGAAAACGAGATTTAAAGAAAGTGGGTAACTGTTTAACTATAACTTCTCAAAATAGTATTAAAAAAAACCTGTGTTAAACTAAGGTCAAGTCTATATACCATGATAAGCTGGTGTGGTATGGTGTGATGTGGCGTGGTGTGTTGTGGTGTGTTGTGGTGTGGTGTGTTGTGTTGTGGTGTGGTGTGTTGTGGTGTGGTGTGGTGTGTTGTGGTGTGGTGTGTTGTGGTGTGTTGTGTTGTGTGTGGTTAAAGGGTTATGTCGGGTTCAGACAGATCACGATACTTGTGTGTGTGTGTGTGTGTGTGTGTGTGTGTGTGTGTGTGTGTGTGTGTGTGTGTGTGTGTGTGTGTGTGTGTGTGTGTGTGTGTGTAAATGTTTCGTAGTTCATGTTTTAATTGGTGTTTCAGACGTGGATTGAAATGTTACATACTGTACAGTTTACTTACACACAAACACTTCTTGGGGGAAGTTATTACTGCAGACACAGAATTTATTGAGACGATAAATTAGGTTTTATTTGTTAACGTTAGCTTTGATTAGGTTTGGTTAGATTAGGTTAGGTTAGATTAAGTTAGGTTTGGTTAGTTTATGTTAGGTTAGATTAGGCTAGGATTGTTTAAAGACTTTGTTTAAAGGTAATGTAGATAAGGTTATGGAGGCTGGCTCACGTTAAGCGCCTGGAGGAGGGTAAACACGCCTGGATCTCACTCTCCCAGCCAGCGCACAGCAGCGAGGATAAGTGGGAATTCCCCGTCAGTTAAACAAGATAACAAGTGTCGTATTTTTTGTTTTTTTCCTCTCCTCGAGATGCTGCTGGAGGAGTTCATGACGACGTTTACAATGTCTTAAAAGTTGGTAGGACTTGTAATGTTATGTGTGTGGTGGAGCAGTAGCAAAACTGTGCCACGGACAAGAGGAAATACTTTTCATACCTACCGTTTTTTTTTCTCCTCCTCGTACAACTTGTCCGGACCTTGAAGGCCAGTGTGTTTTGCTCACTTGTGTTATGTTCCTCTTTTCAGGGAAAATAAAATGCTTCTACGGGATTACAATGACTTGTGTTACTTCAATTAGACCATAGCATTTGAAAAGGTATAAATTATGTTTTTTGGTACAATGTGCTGCCATGGCCATTTTGTATCCATAATGAACGATAAGGAATAAGTGACTAGGTGGTGCGCGGATTAAGGACATGCAACCATGAATATGTACAAAGAAAGAGTCAGGGGACAGAATGTTTTGAACAAATTGCAAAGTCCCTCCAAGAAGGTGGTTGGCAAGCCAGCGCCCTTGAAGTCCAAGGCGGCGTCGCTGTTTAAGCTGGTCACCGTGGAGTTCTGTGACGTGAGTATCCCATTGTGTTCTTTACTATTTTCTTCGTTTTTTCTTCAAGTTGGTCACTGTGGAGTTCTGCTACGTGAGTATCCCATGCTGTTTCATTACCCGCATTTTCTTATGTGTATTTTTATGTTTCTGGTTGTAAAATATTTTTAATGGCTTCCCACAGTTTGGTTATGCAAGAGCTTACGGTGTTTATGTTGGCAAGGGGATACAGCGAGTGGTCTGTGTGTAATGTTAGCTAACGTTGTGTTGTTCTTAGGTCCACTCTGCCTCACTGTGTACTTTTTGCAGTCTTTGTCTCCCTTTGTTGACTGATGTTGTTGTTGATGGTATGATATATTACTGCGCTTTACCAACTAACTTCCATAAGAGCGTAATGTACCACACTATTCGTCAAGATTCGATTGATTTTAATTAACCTGATACACACCTTTCCTAACACAACTATTGATGGTTATTCTTTTTCGTTTTTTTTTATTTCGTATGATTTTCCCCCTGAACCCCAGCATAGTAACTTCTGCCAGATGTGTCCTAACCCGCCCCAGGTCGATCCAAATAGAAACCTGTCTGGCCTGTCTCCCGGGTCCTCTCGTCTCTAGGAATTACATCAGAACCTTTTTTTTCATTGCGAAGAACTCTCCATCTGTCTTTCCCTGTCAGAACCATATCTCGTCCCATTTTAAGAACCTGTCTGTTGCCCTTCACCCCCTGTAGAACCTCGCAGTTACTATAATCATAACTGCAGAGGTCCTATTAGCCATCCCTCCTCCTTTCCCCTTACATTAGTACACTTCTTAAGAACCTTCTCCTCTCTCACCTCCTTCATCCTTGGACCTCCTTCAACCCCCCCCCCTCCACCTCCACAAGAACTCCCCCTCGACACTACACAACAATTCTCTGTCAGAACCCCTTCATCCCGCCGTCACCTTTTCCCCAAGAACCTTTCGCTACCGTAACCCCCCCCTCCTCGTCGCCACCGCCAGAAGAACCATCTCCTGCAGCAACCCCCCTGCCACATAACTCACCCTCGCCCCAATCACCTTCCTCCCCTGCAGCAGAACCCGTCCCCATCCCCCGCCCCTGTCACCATCCTCCCCACAGCAGAACCCGTACCCCCACTCCCCCGCCCCTGTCACTATCCTTCCCTGCCACAGAACCCGTCACAGTCCAGTACCCACGACAATGTTCCGCCGTTCCCATGTCTGAATGACCTTCTTTCTCCTGAGACGTTCCTACGAGGTTTCCTTGGTCACGCGTTCATTAGCCTCCTGCACGTATCCGGTAACACATGTACTACCTCCCGTCGCCTGTGTCTTTGTGTCAGGTGTTGTGTGTCGTGTCGTGTGTGTGTGTGTGTGTGTGTGTGTGTGTGTGTGTGTGTGTGTGTGTGTGTGTGTGTGTGTGTGTGTGTGTTCCTCATGGTCTCTCTCTCTCTCTCGTCTGTGTGTCTGTCTGTGTCATAGCCACCCTTCATACGAACTAATTATCATACTCGCACATGAAAAATATCCATAAGTGAGGTTAAGTTAGGTTAGTAAAGGTGGGCATTGAAATGAGGAACTCTAGCCTAGCTTGTCAACCCAGAATGCCAGCCAAGACTGTCAGCACAGAATGTCATCATAGAATCTAAGTACCAGCCTCTTCATTATCGTCCGTCACCGTCACTGAGGAACACGTCGTTATCATTAAGACAAAGCTATTATTCCATTCCTCCTCTTTAGTGTTACTCCACATTTCCTCCTGCTCTCTGTCTCACGTGTAATCAAGCGTTTAACATTAAGTGTGGTCAACTTCATCATTCAAGAGTAACAGCCACGCTCAGCTGGTGTTAAGGATGACAGGTGTTAGGTAAAACAGGTGTTGCAGCACCATGGTCAAGGTGAGGCTGACAGGTGTTAGGTAAAGCAGGTGTTGCAGCACCATGGTCAAGGTGAGGCTGACAGGTGTTAGGTAAAGCAGGTGTTGCAGCACCATGGTCAAGGTGAGGCTGACAGGTGTTAGGTAAAACAGGTGTTGCAGCACCATGGTCAAGGTGAGGCTGACAGGTGTTAGGTAAAACAGGTGTTGCAGCACCATGGTCAAGGTGAGGCTGACAGGTGTTAGGTAAAACAGGTGTTGCAGCACCATGGTCAAGGTGAGGCAGGTGACCTTGGCAGTATCGGGTCTTGATGACAAACTTGCTCAGCAGAGGACCTGCCTGACGACTTGTCCGCCTTGTGTTAAAAATCTCATACGTTTAACCGAGATATTTTTTGTCAAGTAAATTTCCTTGATGTACAATATTCCTCGGCCGTCACCTTTTAACTGCATCAGTGTTAAGTGTTTGTTGCTTGTCTCAACAAATTTCATTTAAAATTGTTTCGGAGTTCGTTCAGGTATATTTATTTTTTGTATATATTTTTAATAAGTTTTCAAATATATGTTCTTCCCTTTGAAGCTGATTATGTTTATGTTGATCGCTTTCTTGATCATTTATTACATAATTTTGTTAAACTGATCAGTTAACTCGTCCTCAAAGATCACAATCTCTTAAACACATTATCCACTCCCTCCCCTGATCACTGCTACCACCACCACCAGCACCATAATACATTCACCACTAGTAGTATATCCGCAACTACCACCGTCACCATCACTACCTGCACCATCAATAGAGAAAACGGTTTAATACATGCACACACCAAGCCAGAGATCATTCTTAAGTCACATTGCTTCAGCCATTCTTTACCTTAAAAGTGTGATGGGTTGGTCAGGACCTGCAGCAGCGAGTGTAAGGTTTGTTCCCGGGCAAACAGAGGTATCGGTGACGTGAACAAATTGTTTACACGTCCGTAGTGGCCGGATGTCTGTTCAGGTGTCCCCAGCTCCTGTAATTGTCGCAGGCGGTGCTGACGAAGCAGGTGACCCGAGGAGAGTTGTGTAAAACATCAACACATTACCATCGATGGATGTTGCCTCGTTTTACCCATTAATGAGATGGGAGAGTGATGACGTAGGATAAAGACAAAGGTTTTAACTGAGGAAAAGATGGACAGAGGAGAGTGTGAGAAACAAGGTGTGTGGTGAGGGACGTCCTTTGTACAGTAGAGGGTTGACACAAGAGGATCAAAGCGGACCGAGAACTGATTAGGCAGCCTCTCAGTATGACTCTGAAGTCGCTCAGGTGTAATGATATAATCCCGAGCATAAATTAAGTATTTGTACCTGTGCCGTGTGTGGCGACAACCGAGAAAAAGTGTACCCAACACCCGACCGAACTGTATAATATTGCAACAATTTAGATCAGCTCCGCTCCAAATCTGTCAGATGCGGACCTCAGGCTTGTGTCCTCGTTAATGGCCGCCTGCTCATTAAATCACTCGTCTAAACTTGATGCGTGTCAGGTATACGCTGAAGTAATTATGAATGCGGCGACACAACACACCTTATAGAGTGTACACCACGGGGGTTGAAGGGGGGGGGTGGCGCTCAAGCAGAGATGTGCAGAACGGCGTCACTTGTTAAGACTGAACCTATTTGTGTCTTATACGACCTTGTGTTGCTGCTCTTGATCCCCGCGTTACCTTCCACGACTTGCTTTTCTCAATGTCTCTCCAACATCCTCATTTTAATTTGGTAATAGCTGGAAGCAGAGCTAAAATCTTAACCAGGACTTCATGAGGTAAAAAAAAAAAAAAATCCAGTTTCCAACACGACCTTCACAGATTTCTCACCCCAACAACAGACAGCTGCGAGGTTAGATTGATCGCCACCAAGTTAATTCAGAAACTGTTAGAACGTATGACACTGAGAGCGAGTTTGTCAGACGGTACATCTGGTAGCTGATGCATTATAAATGTCTCTCACACACGAGGGTACATTATGAGTCTCTTACCTCATATTTATTGTTACAAGAAAACACAAGTGTATCATTACTGTCATTGTACTCTACCTTTGGGAATCTGACACATGAGTATTACAAATGACTCTTCGTACTCAGTCTGGCAGAAAAATACCCAATATTTCACCAAGTCACAGTGGAGTTGGGTAAACGTATTTGAGGTTCAGGTTATGGTGGAGACAGACCGGATTTTTTGGTGGTGTTTTGAGGGCTTGTTTAAATGACGCGTATAATTTTAATGCTGCCACCGGTGTTAAGAGCATGGAATGTTCACAGCGATGGTGGTGGAGGTCGAGTGAGGAGGTGGTGGAAGTCGAGTGAGGAGGTGGTGGAGGTGCAGTGAGGAGTTGGTGAAGGTGCAATGAGGAGGTGGAGGTCGAGTGAAGAGGTGGTGGAGGTCGAGTGAAGAGGTGGTGGAGATGCAATGAGGTGGTGGTGGAGGTAGAGTGAGGAGATGGTGGAGGTCAAGTGAGGAGGTGATGGAAGTCGAATGAGGAGGTAATAGAGGTGCAGTGAGGAGATGGTGAAGGTGCAATGAGGAGATGGAGGTCGAGTGAAGAGGTGGTGGAGGTCGAGTGAAGAGGTGGTGGAGGTCGAGTGAAGAGGTGGTGGAGGTCGAGTGAAGAGGTGGTGGAGGTCGAGTGAGGAGGTACAACTAACAGATATCACCACAAGAACATGAAACTGATACATTGATGGATATTAGTTCAGCTGTGTACCCTTCCATCGACCACCACCAAGCTGTTAGACTACTAGTCGACTAGACCGGATTGTCTGCCGCTCCTTCCCTCACCTAACGCTCCAACACACACACACACACACACACACACTCAACAGGAAACAACCACGACCACAGTTACAATAGAATCCTGTAGGAGGTCTTAGGGCTCTCCATCTCCTCCTTGTTTGTGTTTTAATACTTTGTGAATTGTTACGTCTCTTGGTCATGGGATGTGTTCCACCACTCTCCTGTGTGATGAATTCTGACGCCTCTCAGCCTTCTGTATTGTTTTATCATTGATCACAAATCCTCTATTGGAAGTGGGAGGTGGAAGGGTACTAGTGGAGGGGTACTGGTGGAGGATGCTGGTGGAGGGGTGCTGGTAGAGGGGTGCTGGTGGTG